GATACACAAAGATTCAGAATCCGTTCGCACAAATACCTGGCTCCCGACCCATTTATCGTCCCTTATCTAGAATATGCAGGTTTTGGACACGTGATAAAGATCTCCAACTGCACCATTGACTCCAAATTCATTCTTGCAATGTTGGAGAGGTGGAGACCGAAGACCCATACATTTCACCTACCAATAGGTGAATGTACCATCACTCTCGAAGATGTGTACATGCTACTGGGCCTCCCTATTGACGGTAAGGCGGTGAACGGGTCGGTTCAACAACCCAACTCACAGTGTGAAGAACTGTTGGGTAGGGACATGGTAGAAGGTGGTGGAGCAAGAGGGCAGGGAATACTACTCACTGACCTGAAACGGCATTATGCAAGTATGGAATTAAATGAAAATTCCTCAGAGAATGACCGAGTAGTAAAAGCCCGAACGTATATTATGATACTTTTTGGTACATTTTTATTTCCCGAAAGTACGGGAAATAGTGTAAATTTCATGTACTTACATTTACTAACAAATTTTGATAAAACTAGAAAATTTAGTTGGGGTTCTGCAGTATTAGCCCACCTGTACAGTTCCTTGTGCAAAAACGTAGTCAAGGAAAAATGTACATTTTATGGGTGCGCATTTTTACTACAAGCCTGGGGTTGGTGGAGGATGGAGTCCTTAAACCCCATCAACAACAACACTTTTGGTTTCCCTTACGCAACAAAGTAAGTCATTAAGTTATAGCATTTATAACTATTCTTCTCTTTCCAAAATATATGCTAAAAATAACATGTTTCTCATTTCCTTTAGGTACTGCGTGAGGGGTATGGATTACGGCAAAAATCCCAGATTCAATGTCGCACTCTACCGGAATCTGTTGGATCACTTAGGCCCAGATGACGTACGTCGTAGCTTTTAACTTTTGTTCATTTTAATTATTTATACATTACTTTTGCGCTTACCTGATTTAAATTTTATCGCAGTTCGTCTGGAGACTATATTTGGGTTTGGACCATTCTCCAAATCCAGAGGATGCAGCAACTTGGACTGCAAAGACTGCACTCATTCGGTTCAACATTGTGGAGATGCACCACAGCGACCGTGTGAAGATGCAGTTCGGAATGATCCAAGAGATACCAAGTGATCCAACAGATTTGTCCTCCTGGCATCTAAAAAGGGTCGACGCCCAGTGGAATCTTACCAACTGGAAAGACTTTGCTCCAGAATGGTGTAAAATGTGGAAAAGGCGTCACCGCTACATCTTGCAATCCCCGGTTTTCCTTACTCAAGGTAACATGCGACACACCGATCAATATATGTCGTGGTACAGGTCGGTTAGTAATCCAGATATGCACGTGTCTCATCCGAGGTACTTGGTTGACCCACGCACACAATGGGCACAACCCTCGATTCCCCACCAACAAACCCAAAATCCATCAACCTCAAACCAACCCCCAAGAAGAAACAGACCAACAAACACACAACCACATTCCCCACCACAACACAACTACAACCAAATGCCGTACTACCAACCACAATCACCGCCAAACTACTAATACCCGGATATGCCTCAAACCCAACCACAATACCAACCCCAATACCAGCAAACCCACATACCCCATACACAATTTCAGTCTTCCACATATCCCAATATGGCGCCCTCAACATCCAGCCTTAGCCCTGATATGGGAATGTCAGAAGATTATGACCAACCCGACCAAACCTACCATCAACCACCATATCACCAAACAACCCAACATCCACAATACCAAACACCCCAAGATCCATTTCCTTTCTACCCCCCATACTCAGACGACCAATGCTACCGACCAACCATGGAACCCCACCCACCGCCAACACGACCAAACTTCGAGGGTATGGGTAACCGACTGTACCAGAGCGGATCTTCGAGATATGGAGATCTTACTGATTTTATGGATTCGGATCGCATTGACTTCGCTGGGCCATCGACCTTGCCGCAGTAGGAAACGAGACGACACCCAGCAAGAGAAAGGCGAGGACGGGGATGCGGAACTGGGGGTCATTACCGGGTTCCTGGGGATCACTGATGTATCTTTTTTTTTCCCAGTATTTTTTGTATCCATTTTTTTACTGTTCTTTAAATGTAAAACAGTTGAATGTAATTATTTTTTTTTAAATAAAAAATCCATTTTGTTTATCTCTGTCTAATACGCAACGCGCAGGAAAGAAAAAAAAAATTTTTTTTTGACCTAATTTTCTACATAGGCGCCATCTCACTTGGCTTAGGGCTTGCCCTTTGCCCTTAGGCGCCAAGTGAGATGGCGCCTCCCTTAAAAAAAGAGGAGCATGCGCCAAATGAGATGGCTCCTCCTTTGTGGAGTCATCTCAAACATGGTTATTTGCGTAATTTTTTCCGAAACCCGATTATTTGCGAAATATTTTTTTAATACATGGTTATTAATAAAAAAAATTCCGATATTTTCTCTCTCTATATATTAACATTGGATTATAATGACAATTAAGTTATATTACAAATATAAGTAAGAATGCAACGTTCAATATTTTTATGTAAAATTTAATAAATTTAACATTAAACTTAAATTTTTTTATATTATTCTATTTTTTATAATATTTGTGTTTAATAGTTTTTCTTAAGAATATTTATTTTTAAAAACATAAACATTCATCTTCTATTCCAATTTTTTTTTCTTTTCTCAATTTATATTTTAATATTTTTTAATTTATTTAAAACTTCATGATAAGTTAGTGACAATTTCACAGTCCACAGTTGTATTCGGATGGACACACAACAAAAATATTTTATTAGTACTACATAATAGAATTATTGTAAGCTGCTAATATGATTTTTGTGTTTTTTTCCCTCAAATTTTCTCCTACAACAATAAATATTCTTCAAAACAATAATAACGCGACACATTCTAGTGGTTGTTTTTTAATTATACATTCAATCCCATATTGGTGACTAAAATCAATACTCTGACCATCTTCCCCTTGTTGGTGGACCTTGTTGAGCATAATGTTTGTTCCAACATTTGTTTCTTATTTCGGCTTATATTAATTGAGGTAATAAATTAAAGGATCCTTTGAAAAAGAGAGACATAAACATTATCCTATCCATTTTGTTTATTTAATTTGGGCCTAGCATATTGGTGTAAAATCAATATTGAATCAATCTCTCTCACCTATATGCGTTATCTTTCTGTTTCACTTTTAAACTCCCAGATGAGAAATACCCACTTTCAGTAACATTTGTTTTGTTATGTCAATAGTCTTATTTGTCACCACATTTTGTTATGGTACTCAAAAAAAGGTTCTAGTTTGAGACATGTCATGATACCACACACAGTAGTAATAATTCTCTAGTTTTGTTTTTATTTACAATTTCTACAATTACATGTATCTTCCCTCATCAATTTTTCACTAATGTTTCTTATTTACCGTACTATTTTTGATATGTCATATAAAAATGATGGTTATTGAAATTAATTTTTCACTAGTTATGATTATGATACAACAGTTAAATGTATCAATCAACCCTATTGACATGTCATGTAAATCCTACTCACTATCATGGTAATTTCAGAGTTACTACTCATTGTTTTTTAATTTTGGAATGTGAATCTTCAAACCCACATGATTCTAGATTTTTACAGTGAATTGATTTTTGCTCTTTGTAGCAAGAATTGTGATAAGAAAAAGTGAAAAGGAAAAACAATTTTTCATATTACCTAAAATTGTTTTTTTTATATTTTATTTTCACAACGGATACCAATAAAGGCATTTGACATGCCCATAATTTAATGGGAAAAGGAAGTGAAAAAAAATAAAATCAATGACACTCTTTACAAAAGTCCAAGATTTTTCACCTTGCTTTCATTACATTTATTTGTCTTATACATGGTCACCAACTGGTGGTATGGTACTGCATCATCCACAAAGGGGGCTGCAACTCTTCATATAAACTGTTTAGTTTGTCACTTATAATTAGTTTAGCATATTATACCATAATCCTTCTCAAAATTAGTTAATACTTGGAAACAAAATAAATAAATGTTATTTTTAAAAATTTAATTAATGGTCTTAAATTTAAATTTAATTAAAAAATCAGTTAATTCAAAAGAAAAAGATGAGTCCATATTAACTAGGGGTCATGTTTGAATTCAGTTCTAAACATGCAAGTTGAAAATACCAACTTTAATTGAAAATAAATTGAGTTATAAGTAACATTAAATTAAAAAAAAAAAAACATTACTTATATATAGAATAACAGAAGTTCAATATTTTAAAGAGTAGTTGAGATTAGAATGATGAAGTTGAAGCAAAAGATATCTCACATAAATAAAAATGAAGAAAGCAGGTGCAATAAAAATAGTTGGTGTTTCATTGTAAAATTAAATATAACTAATATTGTACTACTGTGCTGACACACAAGATAGGTATCAGCTTTATCAATTATATATATTTACATGGAAAAAAATCTCTCATTATTTTTTTTTATGTTTAAGAAAAAGCTTTTATCTCTTTTATCTTGTTAAACTAGTTACTTTCTGTTCCCTCTCTGTTACAATTTCTTTACTGACAGAGGTATACCTGCACAATATTTCTTCACGCACGCACGCATACTCCAAACCTAGCTGCTACCCCACTCCCTCGTACATTACTTTCTCTCTCTATGTGGATTGCTTATTATTTATTCTCACTGTCCTAAAATAATTGTCTTTTTAATTTAAAAATTTTATTTTTATTTTAATTTTCCAGCTTTCTTATTAATTATTATATCTATACTATTTTACCTTTTTCTCCGTGCCAGTTGATACAACAATTCAAAAACAAAAGTCTTTATAAAAGCTTTAACACTATTCCAACTAAAGAAGAAAAAGTGGAACCCTTTCTCATTATTTCCTTTCACTATATAATCAAAAGCTATTAACATTTCATTCTACTTCTTCTTCTTTATAACTAACCTCTCTCTCTCTCTTTCTCTTGCTGAGAGCTTTTCATTTTCTCAAATGGAAGGCTTCTACCACCATAGCCATCACATGAACAACATGAACAGTGACGCTCATTTACCACCTGGTTTTCGCTTCCACCCTACTGATGAAGAACTCATCACGTTCTACCTTCTCAAGAAAGTTCTTGACAACACTTTCAGTGCTAGAGCCATTGCTGAAGTTGATCTCAACAAATGTGAACCATGGGAGCTACCAGGTAACTAACTACTAATCCTTTACTCAACATTTAGTTCTCTCCGAGTTAATTTAGTTGAACCTTTTTAACAGAGAAAGCTAAGATGGGTGAGAAAGAATGGTACTTCTTCAGTTTACGTGATAGGAAGTACCCAACTGGGTTGCGTACAAATCGAGCTACAGAAGCTGGTTATTGGAAAGCAACAGGAAAAGACAGAGAGATTTACAGCTCCAAAACCTACTCTCTCGTTGGAATGAAGAAAACCCTTGTTTTCTACAGAGGAAGAGCACCCAAAGGTGAAAAGAGTAACTGGGTTATGCATGAATATCGTCTTGAAGGCAAATTTGCTTACCATTTCCTCTCTAGAAACTCCAAGGTACTTATTTCATTTTTCATTATATCAGCCGCATTTTGATTGTTTCAAGAGACTACACTATAGGGATAGCTGGAATCTTGATTCCTATTAGCTTTCTATATGCATCGGTTTCATTTATCTATGTTGATGATTTTTCTCTATTAGGCTTTTGTGCACTTTAGGAGGATATGATTACGCCACAGAATTAATCAATCTTGGTTAATACCCTGTGGTGCATGTTAGAGTTTCTTATCACACTTTTGTGAATACATGTGTTTGCATGGGAACCATAACCAATCACATTCATTAACTTCAACTCTTTTTATTATTTTAAACAACTTTTTCATTTTCATCCAAAAATTAAAACCAGTGCAGTCGACACCGTACTATGTATCACTGCCATTTTCATCACACTTTCATTTTGCATAGAGCTTATCATCATAATCATTTACTACCAACGATACTAGTAATTTTTTTTCCGTGTTCAGCCTTTTCTACTAAAATCTCACTTTTATTAATTTCATGAAGGATGAATGGGTGATATCACGTGTGTTTCAAAAGAGCAACTCCGGGAACGGAAGCACCACCGTAACAGCCACCACAAATGGTTCAAAAAAGACCAAAATAGCCTCAACAACCTCTGCAAGTAACAATAGTACAAGTCTTTGCGCTGAACCAAGTTCACCTTCTTCAGTTTATCTTCCGCCTCTACTTGATTCATCTCCATCACTCCAACAACGCCGTTGCTAGCACCGCCGCATTCAACGGCGGTCAAATGTATTCTTACAACAACAGCTCCAACAACAATGATCTAAAGAGCACGTGTCCTGTTTCTCCACATCATCTACAACATCAAATGTTGTCTCTGACCACAACAACAGCCTTAACAACAACAACAACAACAACAATGGAAGTTTTGATCTTGTTTCACCTTCTATGAATGCAACAACTATGGATCCATTTGCTAGGTTTCAGAGAAATGTCGGTGTTTCTGCTTTTCCAAGCTTGCGTTCACTGCAAGATAATCTCCAGCTTCCTTTCTTTTTCTCCACTTCGGCTACGCAGCCTTTTCACGGTGGTGACGTTCTTGAAGGGTGGGGTATGCCGCAAGACGAGCAAAGGGCGGTGATTGACGGTGGTGGTCACAACATGGAGGGTTAGGTTCATCTGAGCTTGATTGCATGTGGAAGCTATTAGTTAAGGGTTTTAGATTAATTAAGGATTATAATGATTAGTTAATTTAATTATTTTGCATTATTAGGGTTTACTTTTCCAATATTGACATGTTTGGAATGTACTAGATTGTTGTTAGTATTAGTAGGTTAAGGTTTGTGTAAGGGTATTTTGGGAGTTAGGTGTTTTGTTATTGTGTTAGGGAATAGGAGCCATGCCATTGCGATACCTTTGGTGGATATTTATAATTTAATATTGTAATAAGTTTGAATTATGAATTTTTAAATTAGACTAAAGTATGAGAATGTTTAATTACTGTTGCTTTTGATATGGTGGCAATATTGTTGTCGGGTTTTGGGTGTGTGGGTTGTAACTAAGGGCAAGGGTTTTCTTTGATAATTATTTATTTTAAGACAAAAATCAATTTTTCTATGGTAGATTAGTTTAAAAATTGCGTGTATATTTTGGGTATAAGAAAATTTATATATAATTCCTTAGATGTGGTTTTTATTATTTTTAATGAAAATATGATAAATATATTGGGGGATTTTGACAAGATTTTGTAAATATTAGATTCGATTGAATGAAGAGCTTTGAAGAACGAGACTCTTGCAAATGAGTAGCATGAGATGGTAAATCTTTGAAAATCTTGGATGATAACAATTTGTAATTTGGATTCAGTCGCGTGCAAGCTTTGAAGAACGGTGATTTCTTGCAAACGAGTAGCGCAAGACGGTGGATCATATGGTATTGTTGGGTGACTTGATCAAATTCATATCAAGGAAAGAGAAATTGTTAGGATCAACATTAAATATTGAGTTTGTAGGGTGAATTGTTACATTTTTCTTGTAAACGATTTTTTGCATTGTAAGAATTTTTATCTAAATTCGAAACAAAATTGAGGGAAGACTAGCCATAGCGAGGATAATTAGTGAACTCTCTCTTCTCTCCTCTCTCTCTATCTCTCTTCTATCTCTCTCTCTCTCTCTCTCTCTCTCTCTCTCTCTCTCTCTCTCTCTCTTCTCTCTCTCCTCTCTCTCCTCTCTCTCTCTCTCTCTCTCTCTCTCATCTCTCTCTCTCTCTCTCTTCTCTCTCTCTCTCTCTCTCTCTCTCTCTCTCTCTCTCTCTCTCTCTCTCTCTCTCTCTCTTCTCTCTCTCTCCTCTCTCTCTCTCTCTCTCTCTCTCTTCTCTCTCTCTCTCTCTCTCTCTCTCTCTCTATATATATATAATATATATATATATATATATATATATCTATAAATATATATATATATATATATATATATATATATCATTTACTTTGTATAGTAAATTGTAAATTCATTGATTGTGTAATCGATTCGTATAGACATATCATTTGATTGTTAAACATTGTTTTGTTGATTACATTACAATCAATTAGATTGTAAGTGGTATTTCATATAAACAAAGTCAAAGGAAAAATCTGAAAAAAATCGATTGCACGACAAGTGTTCGATAATTTGCTTGTTTTAACTTTATCAATAATTTCATTATAAATTGGTTAACAATTATGATCATTATAAAATGATTGATTGAGAAATTATTGTATAGAGTCTTATCATTATTTTAGATTTAAATATGTGGTTTACGCATATCCGCGTTTCCAATAAGCGGTTCGGTTTATACGACTTGCTTGATTTAGGCTTAATCTTCCACTTGTCATAGTTTTCCATTGTTTTTCAAAATAGATTTTAAAAGGTGATTTTTAACCTGGGGGATCAATTCACCCCCTCTAGATAAGTTGTCGTTGACTAACAAGTGGTATCACGAGCTTTGGTTCATTATGTGCTTCAAAAACGCTTATTAGATAATGGTTACCGAACCTAAAGGGGCGTACAATAGAGCGCTTGTATTCACTGGTGAAAATTATGGTTATTGGAAAGCTTATCTGTGTATTCATATCAATTCATATGATAAGGATGTGTGGGATGTTATTGTCAATGGTCCAAAGAAAATTATCGTGACTGGTGCTAATGGTGTTGTCACACACCTAAACCAGAAGCATAATGGAATGATGATGCTAAGAAAAAGTGGGGTTACGATTAGAAAGCACAAAATATTCTCATTCCCGCTCTTGGTGTTGATGAATTTTATCGTGTTTTCGATTGTGAAACTGCTAGGCTATGTGAGACACATTACAAGTTGCCCATGAGGGAACTAATGAAGTCAAACAAGCTAGAATTAATATACTAAATCAAGAGTTCGAACTATTTTACATGAAGCACGGTGAAACCTTTGCCGGAATGCAAAAAAGGTTCTTTCATCTCATCAATCGTTTAAATGCACTTGAAAAACCGGTTTCCAATGAAAATGCTACTAATAAAATTTTGAGGTGTCTTACTAGGAATTAACAACTAAATGTCACCACTATCAAGCAAACTAATGATCTTACAACACTAGACCTCACTACATTGTTTGGTAAACTTGAAGAACATGAGCAATAATTCACTTTCTTAGAAAAACATGAGAAGAAACGTGAGAATACGCTAAAAATGGAGAAAGGCGTGTATTAGAAGGTAGAAAAGAAGTCTATTGCTCTAAAGACTTCTAGTTCGAGGTCCTCAACAAATGAACAAAGTGATAGTGATATTAGTGACAACGAGAATTCAGATGATGAAGAAATGGTATTGTTTATGAAAAGGTGCAATAAATACATTAGAAATAATGGAGTAAAGCACTCCGACAAAAACCTCAACAAGTTTAGAAGTCAATCTACATCCTCAAAAGAAGATGAAAATAAGAAAAGAAAATCAAGACGTTCATGTTACAATTGTGGCAAAGCTGGCCATTACAAGCCAGATAGTCCACTCCTTGATAGAGATGATAAGAAGGATCAACACAAGAAATTTAGCAAGTCTAGAAGAGCATATGTTGCTTGAGAAGGCGATAGCAATTCTTTAAGTGATGAAGACTCAAGTGATAATGAAGAATATGCAGTCATTTATATCTCAGCCCATTATAATAAAAAGAAAAAATATGATGTCAAATCATCAAAATATGATGAGGTTTGTCTCTCGGGGTACTATAATGAAGAGATGAAAAAGGATATCAAACAATCAAAATATGATGAGATTTTTCTCTCAGCTCATTATCATGAAAGGAAGAAAAAGAATGTAAGTCATTCTAAATATGAACATATTAATAAATCGTCTCATTCTGAATTACAAGATGCTTTTGAAAATATATATAGAGAAGCGATAAAGGCCTTTAAAAGGTTAGCTTCAAATAAAAAATATATTTTCCTATTTGGAAGCTAAGATTTTAAAAACCAAAAAGGAAATGGAAGCTCTACAGAAATCTATGATAGATGTTTAAAAGGTACAAGATGAGAATGAAAAATCCTCAAGGTTTGATTTTGGTTGTGATATTTGTCATATTTGGCAAAGATAGGTTAAATCTCTATAAGTCAAATTAGACAAGGCTCTAGAACCAAAGGTAAATTTTTATGTTGATACCTCTAAACACAAAATTTCTTCTCATAATCCTTATAGAAGGTATAAATTTATAGAAAATTGTAAGAACAAGATTTGGTTATGCATCTGACCTTGAGTTTCGATGATAATATTACATAGGTTATTAGATAAAAAATTAGTACCCTAATAGTTTGTTTAGTTTGTAGCTTTTACTAACAGCTTCTGACTCTGAAGAATTGACGTGTGATGTCATCAAATTCTAGACTCAACACACTAAGGGATACAAGTTTGTGTTTCATAGCTTAGAATACTTCTAAAACAACGGTTCTGATAGAACATTAGTTTTAAAGCTTTTGACTGTGACTATGATAGTAGAGCTTATGATATGTTCTTAAGCTCTGAAGATTCCAAGTTCTCTTGCCCAAGTTCTGAAGATTATAAAGACAAGGTTCTGTTGATTGAGTTTTGAAGATTCTGAAGACCAACGGTTCTGAAGACCAAGTTCTGAAGACTCTGAAGACAATGTTCTGTTGAACGAAGTTCTGAAGACTCTGAAGAAAATATTGTGAAGACTCTGAAGACCAAGTGTTGAAGACTCTGAAAAAATAGTTCAAATTGAACAAGTTCTGAATACTCTGATGACATGGTTCTGGAGACTTAACTTTGATTCTTCTACGCATGCTTCATCCATTATACATCCAGAAGCCTCTGAAGATTAGAATATAAGATCAAAAGGTTTCATGTGAGTAATAGTACAAGGTACAACATCACCTTGCCTTCACTACTTTGCTATTGTGGCGCAAGGACAATACTTTTGGTACTATGTTGTCTACCACTCACACTGAACGTTGCAAGAAGACAAATGGAATTTTGGTATTCCTATTCTACCCTCAAACAAATTTCTTTTTGGCTATAAAAGGAAGACTTGGAAGAATTGAAATCGTTGAAGAACTTTGAAGAAACTCATGCTGATTCAAATTATTAAAATGCTGCCAAAATAACTCTGTAATTTTTGTAAAGAAAAGAACTCGTATTCATTAACTTTCTAGCAAGGAACTTTTGTTCGCTAACTTGCTTAACACATTTGTGTTATTATTTGTACTTCAATCTTGTGTAATCTTCTTTTGAGAAGAAATCTTGTAAACACAAAAACTTGTATTCAACAATGAGTTGATTGTTCCTTGAGTGACTAAGTGTTAGTATGTATACTCAAGAAATCATTGGCAGTTTGTCTTTGAGGTTTAGTTCCTTGAGAGACTAGGGATTTAGTCAGGATTCTCAATAAGACATTGATAGTTGTTATTTGTGGTTTTCAACAGTGATTGTTAGTCACTCAAGGAATATAACAAAGGAACTTCTTTTTGTTACTTTTCTATGATTGCTAAGATTCTCAAGTACTTCAATATTGAGGTTCCTAATATCCTATAAAACTCATCAAGGTCGAAACATAAGTCCACCTTGACAAACACGAGGTACTTTTGGGATAAAAACTTAAATGTGTACTACTACCTTCCAAAGGAATCTACTAGAAAGATATATGATTTTGATAATTCT